CGGCATTCACTGGTCCAACTGGGTGTACTTCTGGCGATCTTGCGGGCTTGTTGTGGAGATTGTACGTGCGCTTCCAACAGTTTTAGGAAATGTAATTATAAATCGCCTCGAGTTTCAAAACAATAATATTATATCTGCATGTAACTAATCAACTTTAATCTTTAACATTGGGCATATATTTCTCATCTCTGGGAATATTTTAGCCTGTCTTATTTTTGGTCATTCATATATTTTTCAGCGAATTCATTTAAAATTCCACTTTGGGTATGACAGCAAGGTCACACGAATGTTCAGTTTGAGAAATATTTTAAAGTCAGTTTTGAGTTTCTGCTTTGCGATTTAATGCAGCTGGGTGTTTTTTATATATTCTTTTTACATATTCAATAAAACAAATTCTATTTGTGATTATTAACCCCTATTTAGAAATATAAATGGAAATATAAGGCGAACATCTGGTAATAATTACGTTAGAACATGTCTTTAAAAAATATGTTTTTCCCCTTTTAGTTGTATCAAATAGGTTTAATTCTTTAAAATAAATAAGTAAAAACAAAAACAGCAATAGTGATGTTAAGTACCATTGGAATGGATCAGGAATAGAGTTATCGTTCCTGTTTAAAGTAGTTTTGCCAATATGAAATCCTTCCAGAGGGGCACGAGTCGCTATTCGGCTTGTCTCGGAATAACGTTGGTCACGAATGGTGTGTTGCAAGTCGTCTTTTGCAAGAGGTTTGAGTAAATGTACCAATAAAATCAGTCTGTCTGATTTATACCATTTGGTACCCATTTTCTGCTAGGGGAGCAGAGGCAATTTTGAACAAACTCACTTGCCTAAGGTGAGACCACATATGTGCTTCGTTGTGGCTCTCGCCTCAATATAGGCGGTCGTGATATTGCTAGAATACTAATGTCTGCATTACAAAGCACTCATTTCATGTGTTACATTATGAGGAAGCACAGGTGTGGTTAATCAGTAATTCAGCGATTGCGTACCTGCGAGGAGCTTGCGTGGGCAACACCTGTATCATGTATCGACATCCCTCAACGACTACCTCGATAGATGACATGGAGATTGTATTCATACTATACAAAAAGTCCACCTGTGGATACGAGTATTCTTTGGCATTACACGGATGTTATTTAATTCATTTAAACAAAGGTGAGTACTGACGTAGATAATTGAAAACGGCCACTCCGCTGAAATAATTCAAAGATAACGACGATGCCCTACCCTGAGTGTAAACGCTATTTGTAGCAGCTTTAATCAAAAAATTTCCAATTTTTTGATTTACGACGTAGAATCAGAGCAATATGGACCTGTCTGAACATTACAATCAAATGAACAGCAAATAGTTATCGGTTACCAGTGACTACCGAAAGAATGATGTATAATGCCGCACTCAGTCAAGTCCACACAATCTGTCACAATTTGCTGTGTGTACAAAGTTGTGTCGAGTGAGTGAGTGTATTTAGGGCTGACTCAGATATACAGATGAAACACACAAAGCGTCAGACATGATTTGAAGCACTTCTTAGAGTGAGTGAGTAAATTTTTATTTTAAGCCGCTTTTATCAATATTCCAGCAATATCACGACGGGGGACACCAGAAATGGGCTTCATACATTGTACCCATGTGGGGAATCGAATCGATCTCCCGCGTGACGAGCGAACGCTTCAACCACTAGGCTACCCACCGCCCACGTTGTGTCGAAACTGAAGAGGTACTGAGGATAAGCAGTGCAAAATTATTTTCCTCGTTCCAGTATATTGGTTTTATTCGTATGGTTTAGCCTTAACGTTATTCAATAATTCCTTCACAAACGATCCTTTTATCGACACCACGTCGGAAACGTGAAAGTTTTTTCTCTCACCTTGTTATCTGCCCTGTATCCACAACAACGACATTAGAATCGGTCGAAAAGTATAAAGAAATTGTATATCCATAAAAGAAGATCCTCATCCTTCAGACAACATTGACTAATTCAAGAAAAATGCGAACATGTTTTATTTTCCATTCAGGTTTGAGTCTGCTTGTGGTTCAACAAGAATCACAACTCTGTATATTTCCGGGACAAGCAGGTTATGGTGCTCGCTGAGTGGTGACGAATGTTTTCAGGTGCAGGTGCAGGGAGGTGATTATTCTCTTTGAGGTTTAGAAGCCGGTGGAGCGAGATGTCAGGCAGGCTATCATGCGGGTTAAAGGCACACTGTGACACACTTTCGACAATATTTTGGGCTATATTTTATATATTTGGGGCATATGCACTGACGTTAGCTTCATATTGATGCAATAACAGACTTATTATCCCTTACGACTTGCCTGAAATCGATAATTGAAACTTCCAGGCGAACAGCTTCCAAACAGAGAATACTTACCATATATGGAATGTAAACAATTGCTCCGTACAACGAAAACTGCCGCGCGCAGTGTTGGCGGTGTTTGTGGATCTGGCCTCAATCATAAGTTGCGTTATAGGATATTCGTAAAGAGCATTCCAAGGGACATAGCTCTATGGGGTTCTCTTGATAAAATGTTCGGCCGGTAGAGGGCGCGAGAGTCCTTTTTATGCAACGTTGCATTAACTCATTCCAACTTTATAATCTAATATTGTAATCTAAATACGTAATTTTATTTGGAATAAATTATATGGTAGCTTCCACGAGGGCTGATAACTAGTATTATTGAGTGAAATGCATTACGTATTATTAGAGAAATGTGGTGTGACATTGTGCCTTTAAGAAGCAAAATGTCTAGCAGGCTTTCAGTAATGGACTGACTGACTGACTGAGTTTGGTTTTACGCCGCTTTTAGCAATATTCCAGCAACATCACGGCGGGGGACACCAGAAATGGGCTTCACACATTGTACCCATGTGGGAATTCGAACCCGGGTCTTCGGCGTGACGAGCCAACGCTTTAACCACTAGGCTACCCCACCGCCCTCTTGGAGTAATGGAGCTGGTGGACACAGCAAGGAGTAGATATTCTCTAGAAACAGAAATATGAATCAGTCACCACATGAAACAATGATACCACTATATATAGTGGGTGAGTGAGTTTAGTTTTACACCACACTCACCAATATTCCAGGTAAATGGCGGCGGTCTGAAAGTAATCGAGTGTGGAACAGACTATACAGTGATCAACACCATGAGCTTCGATCTACGCATTTGGGAACCGATGACATGTGTCAACCAAGTCAGCGAGACTGACCACCCGATCCTGTTAGCCGTTTCTTACGACAAGCACGGGTTGCTGAAGATCAATTCTAACTCGGATCTTCACAGATCATTGCCCATGTGTGTTAGCGAAGGAGAGTTACGATTATCGTGGCGATAAGTGAGTGAGTCAGTTTAGTTTTACGCCGCACCATATGGCGGCGGTATGTAAATAATCGAGTCTGGACCAGACAATTGGGTGATCAACAGCATGAGCATCGATCTACGCAATTGGGGTACGATGACATGTTTCAAAAACGTCAGCTGGCATGACCACCCGATCCTGTTAGTCGCCTCTTACGACAAGCATGGGTTACTGGAGGTCAATTCTAACCCGGATCTTCACGGCTACACTATATATAAGTTACATATTATGTGTAACGGCGAAGTCAGTAGCATATGCGTCAAGAATGACACATGTCTTCTATACATGCTCCTTTTTCATGCACACTAACATACAACTTTCGTATGCTCTCTTTATTAATCATTTTTCGGTTGTATCGAGTCTTGGATAACTCGAAGCATTCACGTTGCTCCCTTCAACAACAGTATTTGAACAGCAAAACGTCACTTCTTTCGTTCACTGGTTATCAACAGTATATGCGCTGCATCACGTTTATGACGTTGAGAGAGGGATTCCTGCGGCGACTGCTCAAAGGACTGTAGTCAGAAAACCAATCATCAGGATATGATGGCACAAACACAACTGCTTGCGGCACAAAACAGCATTCACACAGGCGAGTAGTGTCATCTTGTAGCACTGAACAATTATTACTACAGTTTAACCTCGTTCAGATTCGTGTCAGAAATGCCCTTCAGCAACAGTGATCGTAAAAGTCGATTTAAAAATGGATTGCCTGCACGGGCTAAATGAGTTTGGCATTTACGCGTTACCATACGCCCACGGATGGTACATTACTTATTATTATTATGTTTTACAGATTAAAGATAGTATGCAGCAGAGAGGGTTCGGGTGATCCTGGCACAGTCAGGCTGGTAAGGTTCATCATCAGCTCAGGGCCCTCGCCCCTCTACACGCAGCCCAGACAGTGAAATGGGACTTCTCCCAGGAACGCTGCCTAGTCGAACCCACCAAGAACTTTCCGGAGAATATGATTCTTATTATTATTACTTATTATATCAAGCACGGGTTTGTGTGGATTATTTATTTATAGATCATCACCCCTGTGACCATTACTCAGTAGATAGTACTGAAGGTTTATGAAATGGTGCCACTAGCAGCAAATTTGGTGATGGAGCCATATTGTATTTGCTTTTATTCCATAAGGGGCGGTATATTTTCATCATATGAAAGCTTGCAGTACCTATGCTTTGCCCACTTCAATCAAGGTCTGTTACAATCACAAGTCAGTTAGCCATCCCACTGTACTGCATGAGAGACTTACAGCAACGTGATGTTTACACGCATGCATTGTTCTTGCATTTTATAGATTTCACTCCATTCACTTTTTGTGTATGGTATATTTACTCTCAAGTCATTGGATGAGTCAGTGTAACCCAGCATTTCATCCAGCAGAGAAACAGCCAAGGGGCGCCTGTCTGCCTTACTAATGCACAGCATGTTTCTCCTAGTTAAGCAGGAAAACGTAAATAATAAAGAATGAATATCTCCAATGTCTAGGTGATATTACATAACATGCTGTTAGTTCACAAATAAATGTTCAGGAAAAACTCAAAATGCAATTTCTTCTCTTTCTTTCTCAATTGCCAGTATTTCGATTCACTGTCTTCATTTCCTTGTCCATTTGTATAAAAGGCCTTGTGTAGTTGCAAAACGCTCATTCACACCGTTTATTCTATTGTGGATAGACGTAACCGTGAAAATGCAGCTCTATAAAATTGCACTTGTTGTGGCCTTGGGTAAGTTTACCCTTTCTTTGGAGCAGTTTGGCTATTGCAAAACGTTGACTGAGAAGTTCACCTATCTTTCATTTCCTAACGCATCGTCTATAGCAATGTGACTTAAAGAGCTAACAAAGGGCTCCCAGCAGCACTTTTATGTGGAAAACGCTATTTTGGGCATGTTCTTTACAGATGATTAACAACTGATGGATGCACTTTATTTCCTTTCTAGTGTTCACAGCCTTCTTTGGCTCTGCCTACGGTGGCCACGGAGGTGGTGGCGGCAAAGGAGGCGGAGGAGGACATGGAGGTGGAGGTGGAGGTGGAGGCAAAGGCGGTGGTGGCAAAGGAGGCGGTGGCAAAGGAGGTGGTGGCAAGGGAGGTGGCGGCAAAGGAGGTGGTGGCAAAGGAGGAGGCGGCCACGGAGGAGGTGGTGGTGGAAAAGGAGGCGGTGGCAAAGGAGGTGGCGGCCATGGAGGAGGCGGAAAAGGTGGTGGAGGTGGCGGCCATCATGGTTAAGCTCAACTGGCTCTGCACATTTCTATCAAATGCTGGACATCTGGTGTCATCATGGTCATATCCTCGTTGACAACACCACCCTATACAATGTCAACTTTAAGAAATCTGGTGAAATAAAGTCACAAAAACAATGTCTTTTCGACTTTGTATTTACCTATTGCTTACTTGCAAATTTAAAGAAGAAACGCATATGTCCTCCCTGATAAGAGATATATATAACAAACACAAAGAAGGAGGCCCGTATCCTATTAATCAAACTCACAGACATAGCGAGCGCACATCTTTTCATACCAGTTTTAGCATCGGTATCCTGATACAAAACGCAATTTACAATTGATCACTGCAAATAATTCACTTCTTGACTGTTTTGTCGGAAAGTGAATTGTACATGCATCGTCTATATCAGTGTCCACAGGGCACATTAAGACGAGGCTCGGATGATAGGGAACGAAGCCACGTACATCAGCTCCAGCATTAGCTCAACACATTCTGCAGGTGACTGCAAACCACCTTCACACTAACATGTGAAAACATTTCACTTTCAATCGTTTTTAAATGTTTTGTCTTCATCGTGTGCGTGAAGAAAACTAGAGCTTGTCCCCTCAAATACATTTGCCTCAGTATAAAATGAACTGATTACTGTACACAATGGTCTCCAAAGGTGACAGGTCTACATTCTTCATGTCCACGTGTAGACGTTTCTGCACCTTAGAAGGCCTGAAAGTTGAAAGAATTACAACAACATTAAAGTAGCTGCGTACAATGCTTAACACCACTTAGTTCACATATATCCATAGCACAGTTACATGACTGTCAATGCGCTAATTACATTCGAACACCATCCGCCGGGCATAATAGTATGGCATTTAGAGATCATTCTTAAATGCAGTCACATTCAGTTTACTCTTTACTCGCCGAAATGAAGATAGCATGCCACGTCTAGGTTTTCTAACACTAGCATATACTGGTCTTGGTACATGGTTTCAGTCATGTGGACAGAGCATATAGAGATCCATTGAACATTCAGACTACAAGCGTTGAACTGATTGTACTGCTTCCCTTTAAGTGCTTTAGGCAATTTGACGGATATGTGTAACATGGAGATGACTATTTTACCTGCTTTCAGCCTCTAGCTCTCTTCTATCCCTACACTTCTCACATCAATCTAAACTTCTCATGTTTAAAAGCATGTTTCATCACCCCTGTGACCATTACTCAGTAGATAGTACTGAAGGTTTATGAAATGGTGCCACTAGCAGCAAATTTGGTGATGGAGCCATATTGTATTTGCTTTTATTCCATAAGGGGCGGTATATTTTCATCATATGAAAGCTTGCAGTACCTATGCTTTGCCCACTTCAATCAAGGTCTGTTACAATCACAAGTCAGTTAGCCATCCCACTGTACTGCATGAGAGACTTACAGCAACGTGATGTTTACACGCATGCATTGTTCTTGCATTTTATAGATTTCACTCCATTCACTTTTTGTGTATGGTATATTTACTCTCAAGTCATTGGATGAGTCAGTGTAACCCAGCATTTCATCCAGCAGAGAAACAGCCAAGGGGCGCCTGTCTGCCTTACTAATGCACAGCATGTTTCTCCTAGTTAAGCAGGAAAACGTAAATAATAAAGAATGAATATCTCCAATGTCTAGGTGATATTACATAACATGCTGTTAGTTCACAAATAAATGTTCAGGAAAAACTCAAAATGCAATTTCTTCTCTTTCTTTCTCAATTGCCAGTATTTCGATTCACTGTCTTCATTTCCTTGTCCATTTGTATAAAAGGCCTTGTGTAGTTGCAAAACGCTCTCATTCACACCGTTTATTCTATTGTGGATAGACGTAACCGTGAAAATGCAGCTCTATAAAATTGCACTTGTTGTGGCCTTGGGTAAGTTTACCCTTTCCTTGCAGCAGTTTGGCTATTGCAAAACGTTGACTGAGAAGTTCACCTATCTTTCATTTCCTAACGCATCTTCTATAGCAATGTGACTTAAAGAGCTAACAAAGGGCTCCCAGCAGCACTTTTATGTGGAAAACGCTATTTTGGGCATGTTCTTTACAGATGATTAACAACTGATGGATGCACTTTATTTCCTTTCTAGTGTTCACAGCCTTCTTTGGCTCTGCCTACGGTGGCCACGGAGGTGGTGGCGGCAAAGGCGGAGGGCGGAGGAGGACATGGAGGTGGAGGTGGAGGTGGAGGCAAAGGCGGTGGTGGCAAAGGAGGCGGTGGCAAAGGAGGTGGTGGCAAGGGAGGTGGCGGCAAAGGAGGTGGTGGCAAAGGAGGAGGCGGCCACGGAGGAGGTGGTGGTGGAAAAGGAGGCGGTGGCAAAGGAGGTGGCGGCCATGGAGGAGGCGGAAAAGGTGGTGGAGGTGGCGGCCATCATGGTTAAGCTCAACTGGCTCTGCACATTTCTATCAAATGCTGGACATCTGGTGTCATCATGGTCATATCCTCGTTGACAACACCACCCTATACAATGTCAACTTTAAGAAATCTGGTGAAATAAAGTCACAAAAACAATGTCTTTTCGACTTTGTATTTACCTATTGCTTACTTGCAAATTTAAAGAAGAAACGCATATGTCCTCCCTGATAAGAGATATATATAACAAACACAAAGAAGGAGGCCCGTATCCTATTAATCAAACTCACAGACATAGCGAGCGCACATCTTTTCATACCAGTTTTAGCATCGGTATCCTGATACAAAACGCAATTTACAATTGATCACTGCAAATAATTCACTTCTTGACTGTTTTGTCGGAAAGTGAATTGTACATGCATGGTCTATATCAGTGTCCACAGGGGACATTAAGACGAGGCTCGGATGATAGGGAACGAAGCCACGTACATCAGCTCCAGCATTAGCTCAACACATTCTGCAGGTGACTGCAAACCACCTTCACACTAACATGTGAAAACATTTCACTTTCAATCGTTTTTAAATGTTTTGTCTTCATCGTGTGCGTGAAGAAAACTAGAGCTTGTCCCCTCAAATACATTTGCCTCAGTATAAAATGAACTGATTACTGTACACAATGGTCTCCAAAGGTGACAGGTCTACATTCTTCATGTCCACGTGTAGACGTTTCTGCACCTTAGAAGGCCTGAAAGTTGAAAGAATTACAACAACATTAAAGTAGCTGCGTACAATGCTTAACACCACTTAGTTCACATATATCCATAGCACAGTTACATGACTGTCAATGCGCTAATTACATTCGAACACCATCCGCCGGGCATAATAGTATGGCATTTAGTACAAAATTATTACCACTATTATATTAATATTACATAGTACTCCAAGGAATAGGATAGCTCGTTGGTCAATGTACGCCTGAAGTGACATAAAGCTAAGACAATCTCTGGTAACTACGGAAGACTAACGTTCAGACAAGCCTTGAACATGTGTAAAGAATTAACGTGGGACAATATCAAGCATTTCGTATTCTTTTGAGAGAGTTTACACCAAAGACTGTAAGCATATGATCCATATTGTAATATCCCCCTTTCCCATATACAAACAGATAGGATGTAGACCACCAAAAATACACCAAAAGTGTACTTTATATTGACTTACATTCTGAGCTTGTCACATGTTACATGGATACGTTCTAATATATTTTTCTTTCTTTATTTATTTATTACTTATTTAATTAATTATAAAAAGCTTAAAAGCTGTGCTGTGCTCATTTCAAACATATGTGCTCATTTCAAACATAGGTGCTCATTTCAAACATATGTGCTCATTTCAAACATAGGTGCTCATTTCAAACATAGGAAGGGGTGGTGGGGTAGCCTACAAGTTAAATCGTCACGCCGAAGACCCGTGAAGCAAATTCCTTCAATTTCAGGTGTCCCCCGCCATTATATTGCTGGAATATTGCTTAAAGCGGCGTAAAACTATACTCACTCCCTTGATCCCATCATAGCTTGATCAAACATAGGTTTGTGACAATAGCAAATCATGGAATAAAGACATTGCACTGCAAGACTTTCAGCAACGTGATATTGGCCTGATTATTGATTATTTCTTTCAATTCAGGTTTTTGTAGTTTATATTTTCTTTGAAGTCATGAAAAAAGTGCCGATCCGTGAAGACTAACGGGATCGGGTGATCAGGCTCGCTGACATGGTTGACATGTCATCGTATCCCAATTGAGTAGATTGATGCTCATGACATGGATCACTGGATTATCTGGTTCAGACTCGATTATTTACAGATCGCCGTCATGGTTTTACGCCGCTTTTAGCAATACTCCAGCAACATAACGGCGGGGGACACCACAAATGGGCTTCAGACATACTGCCCATGTGGGGAATCGAACCCGGGTCGACGTCGTGACGAGCGAACGCCTTAACCACTAGGCTACCCCACCCCCCTACAAAATAAAAGAAAGAAAAGGTTCTATGAATTCAAGTTCTTCCAACTTCTGAATTCCGACCAAAGACACTTTAGTTAGGGGACTAGACAATTCGTACCAACAGTAATGACTCACTAGAAACCAAAGTTTTGGTCAGACTGGTAACGCCTTTTGAACAACTCGTTCCTCTTTTGGTCAACCCGAACCCAGATTTGGATGATCTATTAACTTCCGGTGCTCACACACGCTACAAGAATCGGGGTAAGTTTTTCATAAAAGTGTTTGTATAGTTTGTACACACGAATCACTTGTCCACGATAATGTTGGAATATTTCTATCATGCACAACCAACGATTTTGAAGCCCAACAACATATAGTGCCCTTCATTTGGCTGATTTGTGGATTGTCACAGGCTGGATTTATCCACTGCTGGCTGCATTATAGAACAGAAGTATCAGTCATGGCAATTTGTAACAGTTGTATTCAGGTCTGTGAAATAAATTGTTTGAATCGTACGGATATCTTTCACTCGGAACAACTCGATAGGACACAGTCATGAAAGATTACATGAAGCATTCGTAAAATAGCCATTTTGTGACCGTGAGCGCACTAAGGTGCTGTTTAGATTGACATCCAATGATCGAGGGAAAAACAAAGCGCCTGTGAGCAGCTGAGTTGGATATTGGCGCTATATAAATAGATAATAATAATAATCTGCAGTAAAGTGGTTTCTTCAAATCAAGGATGACTAAACAGATATTTAAAATGCCACTGAAAGCTCCCTTGGGTGTTGAAACAAATCAAATATTCATATTATTTTATCAATAATCAACTATGACAATATTGACTAAAATAACAATATTGATCTGTCTGTCTGCTTAACACCACACACAGCAATATTCCAGGTGCTTAACTGCATTCTGCAAAGAATCAAATCTGAACCAGACAATCCAATGACTGACATCAGAAGCATCAATCTACACAATTGGGTCACAATGACATGCATCAACCATGTAAGCCAGTCTGACAACCCAAGTACTTCAATCACCACAGGCATGGGTTGCTGAAGACCAGATAGGTCTAACCTGATTCTGCACGAGCGGTACTTTAGCAGTGTGAATTCAAAGAGAAAACTCTTAATAGCCAGTTGGAAGAAAAAATACATGCAACTAGGTTCCAATTGTTACCGAATAAAAAGTTGTGACCAGTATCAAATATTATTTTGTTAAACTTCTTAACAAATAGACACAGAAAAATGGCATCAAATGCTGGCTGAATGGAAAATGTCATGGTGGGTGCTGAAAGGTTGGGAAAAATTTCATTCAAAACCTGTTCAACTTTATTTTCATGAAACCTGGCAAACACACCTCCTGAGTAAGGTTTTTTCTCCTCTGTCACAGTCAAATGATGTGCCAAAAAGTGTCATGCATATCTGATAATCTATTCATTGATTCCAATCCTCTCCTTGCAAACTAATTGCAAAAACTTTATATTGAAAGAGAATCAAATCAAAAGATAACAAATTTATCATGTCATGATTGAATCTTACAACACCTTGAAAAAGCAACAAAATTAAGCAATAAACAAACATGTTATTATTTTTGTTCACATTCAGAGCAGGATGATTCATGACCTATTTTTAAATAAAATTTGGTCTCAACAGTTAATTCATGACAACTTTAAAAATATAGTGGTTGAAAGAAATTAGAGAACAGAAATCACAGGAACTAAAGCACAAGTAAAGGCTCTGGTCAAATTGGGTCATCTGGATCAGGTGTGGTACACAGAAATCCTGCTTCTATGATGCAAAGTCACATTAGTAGAATATGTGAGAATTGCTGTTTATTTGAATTGCTACGGTATTCTAGTCCTTTAAGGGTAGTGTTCCTTCAACAAAACTAAGGATAAATTTACAACTGCCTGAACATGATTGTTTGGTTATCACTCCATCAATGTTTATTTGGCTTGAAATTGTTTGGGTCTGTCCATTTAGTGGGAATAATGAATTTTGGAGCATGGTTTTATGCTACTTGTAGTAATAATCCAATAATATCATAGCCGGGGAGAAGAAAATTATTTAACTTGCACTTGGTGAACAGTGAAAAATCTGGTTGCACAAGACAAAACCAGGTTGCACCTGGTCCTAGAACTGACTGACTGACTGAGTTTAGTTTTACGCCGCTTTTGGCAATATTCCAGCAATATCACGGCGGGGGACACCAGAAATGGGCTTAACACATTGTGCCTATGTGGGGAATCGAACCCGGGCCTTCGGCGTGACGAGCCAACGCTTTAACCACTAGGCTACCCCACCAACCCCCTGGTCCTAGAAACTGATGTGAATAATAAATACTGAGATCTCGGATGACTGTCATAATTTTTCAAAACAGTTAGTACTAACTTAAAAGTACTTTAGAACCAATGTCATCAATGACAACAGTCATCGCATGGGGAATCTAAATATCGTATAGTATAGTCAGCTAAAATGAAAGCCTGGTTAAAAAAACAAAAAAAAACAAAGTAACGTTTCAGTACATAATCTCTGAGTACCCACAGTTTGGAGGCATCAAAGTCAAGTCAGCATGCCAACTTCCACCCAACACAGGCATTTCTGAAGAAGTAGGGTCAATTAAATTCATGTATGGATAAAATATATACCCACCTTTGCCAATTTTCTAAGAACTGACAGTAATTATGGTATTGAATTTGTTGCAGCCTCTGTAGACTTGCACAAGTCTCTAAGGTACAAAATTAATAGTTAAAATAATAATTTCTAAAATATTAATAAATAGCAGACTGAGTTCCTAGATTTGCCTCTTCGAAGGATAGAATTACTATTCATCCATGGGCTCAGCATTGAGCCTCTGCTACTCAAGTCAATAAAGACAAAAGCAGTGGATTGCACATCTGTTTATTCACACAGTATATTGGGATACTTGAAGTATGACTTCAGCAAGACACTGCAATATGCAATAAGTACTCAAAAACACATACATGACACAAAAGTATACATCCCAATTAAACATTGCGCAAAGGATAAAATTATATTTTCTCCTGTCGGCGCATAAACTTACATAACATTAAAAACATTACCAAACAAATGTTATCAATTTAACTTCGTTTTGACAAACAGCTGACTATCACAATATGGCATTTCTCTCTTGGCATATCAAGGTGAAACAAGCTTCAATATCTGTATCCCTTGTTGGCTGCACGGGAGAGTAGCATTCCACCCAAGTTATGGCCGATCCATCCAGCAGGCTTGCAGGTAACCTACAATAATTAACGCACCATACATTAATGCATAAGAAAACAGTTGATCATGAACACACGAAGAAAACCATCTATATACTCCTGTACTTCCTGAATTGCATTTCAGGGCTCAATTTAACATGCACCAATGGAACCATTTACTGAAAAATGCAACCTCATTTTTATGGGGCATAAAAGATGGCAGTGCTTTAGATGTCTGGGTTATGGGTGGGATTGAGTAAGTGAGTGAGATGTTTTTAATGCTACCTTGGCAAGTATTTCGGTTATGTCAATGAGGGTGGGGTGGGTGTCAAATTGATGCTTGAAGAATAAAACCCTGAAGAATTAACCTCCATGTGAACAGATGATATTGAGCACAGTCCATTGTCTGTCTTTCCATCCAGTCGTCCATCCATACATGACTGTTGCATTTTGGCATCTCCTTGAAAGTACAAGAACTGTCAAGCTGACACTTTTCTGAAAAATTGGCACAGGTGTGTATTATCAGTAGCCCAGCATATGTTTATATTTCAATACTGATCATTTACACATCAGATTAAAATATTACAAATACAGCTCACATGTATCTTGACTGAAAAGTAAGCATTCATTACAATGAAATCAAATAGATTCTCAACACTCAAGCTCATTGAATCCCTATTTCTACTGTCACAAATATAAGATTACTAAGAGTCATTTACTGTTATTTATACGATGTAGATAACAGATGAAGTTTGATTACCAAGTGATAGATATTTACTAAACTTTGAATCGAATACTGTGGTTTATTGTAGTGATTGTGACAAATACCATGGCCTCCTGTAAATGTCTTGCACAATTGCGCCAATGACTGATAGCAAGAGCAACAGGCCAATCCATTGGGGAACAATTACTGGACACACATTGTCAACCATAATCCTCACCTTTGTTGGTCCTATGAAACCAATCAGGTGAGTTATATTTAATGGTACTTTGACCTGTATGTCTGTTATACCACTGTGTTAGGTGAGTGAGTTATGCTGAATGCTATTTTGACCCGTATGTCAGTTATACCACTGTGTTAGGTGAGTGAGTTATGGTTAATGCTATTTTGACCAGTACGTCAGTTATACCACTGTGTTAGGTGAGTGAGTTATGTTTAATGGTACTTTGACCAGTATGTCAGTTATACCACTGTGTTAGGTGAGTGAGTTATGTTTAATGGTACTTTGACCAGTATGTCAGTTATACCACTGTGTCAGGTGAGTGAGTTATGTTTAATGATACTTTGACCAGTATGTCAGTTATACCACTGTGTTAGGTGAGTGAGTTATGTTTAATGGTACTTTGACCAGTACATCAGTTATACCACTGTGTTAGGTGAGTGAGTTATATTTAATGGTACTTTGACCAGTATGTCAGTTATACCACTGTGCTAAGTGAGTGAGTTATGTTAAATGGTACTTTGACCAGTATGTCAGTTATACCACTGTGTTAGGTGAGTGAGTTATGTTTAATGGTACTTTGACCAGTACATCAGTTATACCATTGTGTAGTCTTATGAGGTGGGAAAAAAGAGGTGAGGCAGATGGATAAGTCATGAGATGACAAATATATCAACATTATCCCAGCAAACCCGGATTTGAACCCACGGTCAACTGTTTCTTATGCACAAAGGAACACAAGCAACTAGCCATGGTTCAGATGACGGCCCACCCATGCCTCTTCTGAAAGCAAAGAGTCTCAAGGTTCCCTTGTGCCCTAAACCCCCAGGGTGTCCTGGCCCCAAACCAGGCCTGACTTACTATCAACAGCAACAGTGTATGTTATGACAAACCTCTGTAGCAGTATCCAGTTATAGCAATCATGACGACCAAATACGTTAGTGGTGACGTAGTCTGATGTTCTGCTGGAGGCAAGACTGCTTCTTTCGAGGAACTGCCTGCCAGAAAATGTGTTTATGAATCGGGATATACTTGACGTTTTCATCACGTGTAAGCCAAACTGTTATCAGATATGACAATATAGATATCGTGTTCTCAGAGAGTGTGTACCTGGCAAATTTGGGATGTTAGATAATGGATAGCGAATGGTCTGATGATGTAAACAATTGGTGCTAAATATTTACTGTTTCCGAGGTGGGGGTATTTTGGTTTGATGTGATTGATGTAGCGTCAACAACTGTCACAACAAACATGTGATACTGCATGCAATCAATGCCAATCTGATGCTTATGCCGAAGATGTGCATTGATATAAGGGTCATCTAAGGTGCATTCAAACTGTTAAAAATTACAGGATTGTTTTTAGCTTCTCTCATGGTAAACATGCAGTATGTGTTTACATGTGACCCTGTGCGAATAGTGTGTAGGTTACAGACAAGCAATATTGGGTAAGCGGGTATAGTTTTACGCCGCTTTTAGCAATATTCCAGCAATATCAGGGCATGGGGCACCAGAAATGGGCTTCACACATAGTACCCATGTGGGGAATCAAACCCGGGTATTCGGTGTGATGAGCCAACACTTTAACCACTAGGCTACCTCACTGCCCCAGCAATATTAGGCACTGTTCATCTTGCAGAGATTGGGGCGGTGGGGTAGCCTAGTGGTTAAAGCATTCCCTCGTCCCTCGAAGACCCTGGTTCGATTCCCCACATGTGTACAATGCGTGAAGCCCATTTCAGGTGAACCCCACAGTGATATTGCTGGAATATTGCTAAAAGAGGCGTACAACTAAACTCACTCACTCACTCACTCAGTGTGTCAGTGGAGAGAAATTGGATAAGTGACTGCGTGACTCCTGAATTTTTTGGGCTTCGATCCTGCCACACATTGAAGCACATGTAACACATGTGGTGTCTACCTGGGCATCTGACTTTGTTTGAAATATGCCTCTGGTCACCAAGCAGAGAATGGGTACCCATCAGGATGAAACGGTCATGTGGCTATATACATCCTACGTGACACCTTAAAACGCTGAGAATGAACACACACTACTCTACTGACAAGTCCCATAAACTTGAACAAATATGGCCACAACACCAACAAGCAAGCTGAATATTTCTCAGCTTCATTTACCTCACCTGTCTGGGAGCCAGTGTTAATGTCTGTCTTTCCATCTAGTTTCCTATCCATCCTTGTCTTAATCATTGTCGGCTTCTCCTCTGAAAGTACAAAACAGGGCAAGGTTATAATCCTCTGGAAATTTAGCATAGGTTTTAGTTAATAACATAATTTTAATGTCCAATTTTTCGCAAAATTGTACAAACGATTTGTGTCTGTTTTAGACTGTGGATTCATGTGAGCTACAGTGTCCCTGAAGTGGCCATATTAAAGTAAATAACATGAAATAACATGTCCAGGGGAGCTATGGATTACATGAAATAGACATGAATAAATAAATAACATGAAATAACATATCCACATGAGCAATGGATTATATAAGATAACCATGATAAAATATAAAACATGAAATAACACAGCATTCATTTGTTAGATTTTGTCTACTTTTGAAAACTCTTGGCCATGCACATTGTCAAAAACAATAACACAGATTGATCTGTTCTAAAGATGAGATCCCACCAGCAAGGTTGCGTACATCATACCGTTACACAGACAGTGGTAACACCTACCACCAGGTGGCTCTCATACCAACTCTTGAGGAACTGGTAGTCGTAAACAAAGGCTTATGTACGTTTATAACTCGCCATAATAAAGCCCAGATCACAAAGATGCATCTGGAGATTGCTCTCATGCAGTTGCCAATAGAGACCAGACAAGTGTTATTCTGGGCAAGATTTGTTGGAGTGGTTTTATCGCCAGAAATTCGGATGCATTTCGGATTGTTAGGATTAATGTCATTCAAGGACAATATCATACAAGGTGAATTGATAGGCATGGGTAAAGTGAGACAGGAACTCAAAAAACACAGTTGCAGCAGAACTGGGCAGATATATGCCACAAGTAAACTGTGATGGGTGAGTTTAGCTTTACGAATCTTTTAGCAGTATTCCAGCACTATCACACCAGGGACACTAGAAATGGCTTCACACATTGTACCCATGTGGAGAATGGAACCCAGGATTTTGGTGTGATGAGTAAATGCTTTAACCACTGGGCTACCCCACCACCCCACAAGTAAAGAGGTTGTGCATCCTAAAACTTCTTGAAATTCAGTGGATGATTACACCGAACCCATTTGTACAGTTTATAGCTAATGGTTGATTCAATATGCTCCTGCTTCACACTCAACACACCAAACTGACTGACTGAGTTTGGTTTTACGCCGCTTTTAGCAATATTCCAGCAACATCACAGGGGGGGGACAGAAATGGGCTTCACACATTGTACTCATGTGGGGATTCAAACCCAGGTCTTCGGGGTGACGAGCCAACGCTTTAACCATTACGCTACCCCACCGCCCACACACTGAAGACCCGGGTTCGATTCCCCACATGGGTACAATGTGTGAAGCCCATTTCTGGTGTGCCCCGCCGTGATATTGCTGGAAAATTGCTAAAAGCGGCGTAAACCCCTACTCACTCACTCAGAACATTCCCGTTGTGAGGGACTGTGGTGAAATGCTACATTGCAACTTTTGCTTCAGACACATAAGTTTGAAAATGGGAATGACAAAGAAATTTGTATGCCGCACGTATCTCATGACTGGAAATGCCAAAAGTTTATCTTTCAAATTCTATGTCACATCCAACTTAATGAATTTCCCTTACTGTCAAGCATAAAGAGAAATGAGAGATTCATATGAACTGACAACGTCGCAGTGTCCCTTAAGATCGGATTTCACCCTTTCAGAGGAAGTGTCTCGTTCTTGTAGAATTCCATTCCCAAGTCATTTACCAAATAAATTGGAGATTGCTTCATTGTGTAACCTCTTATAAAACTGGCACTTCATTACAGTTGTCATGACAACAGAGTAATTTATACCATTCAGGACACACCCTTTGATGGTACAGTCAGTCTGTTGGAGGCTGATATCTCTGAATCTAGTGCATCGTCACACTCTCAATTGTCTTTCATCTATTTCAGGTGACATGGTGAGATATTTGTGCAATCTTTCTTCAAACTGTTGGAAAGACTTGACACCTAATCCTTAAAAATGTTAGTTAAAACCAAATTATCGATATTCAAATGACTACATGTTGTATTGCTTTTTATGTGAGGTTTAGATTAGGTTTTTGAGAAGTTCAAAGTCCAGCACCCTGACCTATAAAGTGTTCGTAATGCTGTGACCTGTTGAAAGTCTAATGTTTATCATAGGTTTACCAATGTCGCTTCACTAGGAACTCTGTGTGGTTTGGGACTCATAAAAAAGAATGTTGGTGTAATTATTTACATTTCCAATTGATCATTATGTTTTTAAATTATTTAAAAATTTACTAAAAAACCCAATCTTATTAAGAAGTCAGTATGCACAGAGATTTACATAATCATGTTCATAAAAACTCATGAATTGAAATGCATTTCATTAACTATAAGAGGATTACCCTGAGCAGCTCTCTACAGTTTATTTTAAAATTTAGATTATCCTGGAAGTTGGAACAATCAGCCTTTTTCAATTTCTCATTCTTGAATGCCAGATGTTAAAAATTTTGAAGAAAAATTGTTCAATTTCAACCATTCTAACATTCCAGAACATTCCTGATGTTTGAAACTATAACATGTGACACTTCCAAAAGGGCAGTAATTATCTGGCCATCTTACCTGATCCACACCAGGGCCTAGATTTTCGAAGCTCTCTTAGAGCTAAGATAGTCGTAAGTGCCATTCATTAACATTAACTTACGACTATCTTAGCGCTAAGAGAGCTTAGAAAATCTAGGCCCTGGAATGCGCCATGTATACCACATTATTCAGACTAAAAAGGCAGGCATTTATGCATAAATTTTATAGTTTGAAGTATGTGTATAGTAGGTGTTGGTCCCTGCCTGGCGCTGGAGTAAGTATACTGTGTCTGAGTGGGGTATTCATGCTTCACTGCGGCATGGTATCTCAGTGAGCTAGCACTATAAAACCAGCTTAAGTCTGGGCTAGTATAAGCAGCCGCACATACACCTACACATGCATGCACGTCGCCATATGAGCGAAATATTCTCAAGTACGACGTTAAACCCAATTTCACCTCACATCAAAAGATTTTACTAAAATATGTTTGCAATGCATGTAAGCTTAATTGTCCATGTGATTCCAAGAGACATTCATTAATCATATTGTGTTCCGGATATAACTGAAACAGTTATACTGAAAAGAGGTGAAGTATTCACGGATGTACTCACTACGTGGATCAGTTGGAATACTGATTTCATACAACTTCTTGACAGGGAAGAATGGTCCTTGTTGAAAAATCTTTAACAAGTGAATGTATGTACGGTTTTACACTTCTTATAGCAATATTCCAGAAATATCACTGCGGGGACACCAGAAATGGGTTTCACACATTGTACCCATGTGGGGATTCGAACCTGGGTCTTCAGCGTGATAATCAGATGCTTTAACCATTTAGCTACCCCACCACCCGTCTTTAACATGTGTGAAAGAAGACAAAACAGACACTATGGGTATAAACAGAAGACTAACACGTAGTTCCTGAAAATGTATACCGGTAATTTGTTAAGAAACAAAAACTGCCATTTAAACTGAAAAAGAGTCTCATTGAAGTGGGAGAAACTGAGAAAAATCTAGACTTACTTCATCTTGGGCTTAGGGCAGGGCAGAAAGGAACGGAAACTTTATGTTTCAGGGACTGTGAAACTGACAAACAGGTAAGGTATTCAAAGGGATTATATTCTTCCAAACAGTCATTAAAACTCACTAACTCATGAATTTTTTTGTATTGCTTTAATGCCTCTGATCCTACCGGTTTATTGTGATAAAGTCCTGGATAGTTTGAAGGCGTAATTCTGTTTTACGATTATGGTTCTATTGTGTGCTATTTTCCATTGAAATGATGAAAAGCAGACTTCTAATTCAATTCTGCTTAAGTTACAGGGCAAACATCAAGTGTCACTGCAGGCATTCCGTTAGAGAACACAATTGTTAGGAACAGTTATTTGCCATGAAATATATTTTTGAACTTCACTGCCAGGTTAGAATGACATAACTTTAAAGACCCAGTTTTAGTTTAACATTCATGGAATACAATTTGGATATGATCAGACTATTTTGAATTGAAGACTTTCAACTATTCAATTTGTGCATGCCGTTGACAAATGAATTTGGGTTAGAGAAGAAGAGAAAATACTTGTGCATGATTGAGTCTCAAATTGTTAAAAGTGAAATAGATGCATCACATGCAACATAAAAAGCATCCATGGTATGCCTCAAATTAAATCTTCATCAGTTTGTGAAGCAAGATATAAGGTGTGTTGTATTATAACTTAATTTATAGGTCCTGGAATCTAGTATTTCAGATATGTTCAATAAAAAAGGAAGAAAGCAACATTTTTTCTGCTGAAAGTCGAGACGGTGTAGGTAATGGAGAGCTGGTTTGGCTGGGGAAATGGTTGTCGATCTGTGTGCAGAAGGTTCTGGTTGGGCCTGCAGGAGGTCTTGGATGGAGATGGAGGTGTTGGTTGTGGATGCATGATGAGTTAGTTTGGGAGGTCAGAGGTGTTGGTTTGGGAGGTTGGACGTGTTGGTTGTGGGTGCAGGAGGAGTCGGTTGTGGATGCAGGAGGTGTTGGTTGTGGATGTAGGAATTGTTGGTTGAGGATGCAGGAGGTGTTGGTTGAGGATGCAGGAACTGTTGGTTTGGGATGTAGGAGGTGTTGGTTGTGGATGCAGGAGGTGTTGGTTGTGGATGCAGGAAGTGTTGGTTGTGGATGCAGATGCAGGAGGTGTTGGTTCCCAGCTGAAAAGGCACCATGGTTGACCATGGTCAACCATGGCTTACCACGGTAAACCATGGTATTACCATGGTTTACCATGCTAAACCGTGGTCACTAACATTTCTCCCCATGGTAGACCATGGTCACCATGGTATACCACAGCAGACCATGGTCATTATAGACCATGGTCACCAGAAACCATGGTAGACCATGGTCACCAACATTTCTCCCCATGGTATACCATGGTATACCATGGTATACCATGGTGACCATGGTATACCACAGCAGACCATGGTCATTCTAGACCATGGTCACCAGAAA